ACAAATAAAGGGTGTAATAAGATTAGGGGGGGGGGCCTTAGAATATACAACTTTGGTTGATAGTCCCATCTATACAAGAGGATATTTACATAATGATTATTTTTTCTTTTTGTTATAGTTTTTAGAGTGTAGAAAAGAAGGTTTCCTTTGGGAATGTTGATTTTTTTTTGGCGGTTACCAAAATTTGTGATTTAAGTACAGATTTATGTGAGGGCTAGATCTGCGCTGAGCTGAGATAGCCTCCTTGGATCTCGTCGGCCGCGACTCGAGTTGCGCGTTCCGCTTGTGTGATTGCTGTATCCGGAATCCGAGCCGAAGGCGGAATCCTGCGAATAAGGCTTTGGTATGGGCCTGAACGTGGCCAAATGCCCTATGACTGGAACGGTTTCGTATGGTCCAGGTGTGGGTGACATGCATTGCAACCTTTGCGTGATGCTAGGTATTTGCCTTCGACCAGATGGGCCTACACTACCAACACGTGGGTACAGCTGCAGTAGGGCGTCGAGGAGCATGCCTTCGTGGAACTCTTGACGCCGCCTATCCAAGCTCTTGTGCTGCCTCCTCGCACCGGGGATTGGAGGTAACGGTTCGTGAGGTCTTCGGAATTTTGGTACGGCACGCTGCTGTTGATGTTGCTGCATCTGCAGCTGCTGCTGTTGCAATTGCTGATTGTCCGGTCGGTACTGGTGGGGTGCCAATCGCCTTTCGGCTTCTCCTCCTAAACTCAGTTCATCCTCTGCGAATTCATCTTCGCTGTGCGGCGCAGGAGCCATTTCGCTTTCGGCATCGCTCAGCTCTTCGTAAACAGGATTGTAAAGGTCCTGCGAGCAGTACGGATCCGGACCAGGAGATGAGCACAGGAAAACAGGCGGATGCGTCGAAATCGGATATCCGCTCGGGTAATGGATATTGTTCTTAACGTCGATCATCTGCAAAACCAATTAAGAAAACAGACCGCACATTAGAGACAGAAGACAAAAGCCGAATGGAGAGCACAAAGGGGGGGGAGATGAAAAAAGTGTACATTCGCGACAAAACAAAACGAGAGGAAAGAAAATGATGTTTTTATCTCGAGGTTAAAGCAACAAAGCATATGCAATAAAGGAAGTAAACATAAAAAGCTCATCATTTCACAGTTAAAGCAGAAAAGTGTTACACTTAATCAAATGAAGCGAAACATGTAAAAATAATTGAAATTAATTAATTACATTTCTCATTTATATTCGAATATTGATAGGCTTTAGTGTTTTAGCAATGCTGTAACTTCTTCTCGAAGCGAAATCATCTATTTAAAAAAAACACACACAAAAAATGAATTATTGAAAAGGGAAGAAAATTGTTAATCCTACTACTCACTAAGTGTTATTAATGAGTATATAGGATGAGTATATAAACAAATAAAATTTTAAATCTACTAGAATATCATGATAATTACCTCGATGGATGGAGCAACGATGTGTCCGCCGACTGCGTGATGATGCTGTGGTTGCCTCACGTGAACGTCGTGAAGATCTTCGTAAATGACGCCGGGAGCGCTGGCGCCTTCGCAGTTGTTTTGCGGTGAGCTCTTGCACGGCAGGAAGTTCTGAACTTTCCTCTTATGCCTGTAACAATAATAAGAGAAACAAATAAATATATGCCTTTAAGAAAATTACGAAAAACATAAATCTCGAGAATTATTATTATATAATTGCGACCACATGCGGCACAATTAAAAAAAATGTAACCATCACTCTCGGGTTTCCCCATTGGGAGAGGGAAGCCGTAAATCCCGTCCTCGAGTTAACGCTGGATTTGGATGGGATTAAGGGATGCCGCCGTACGGAAATCAAGTGTGCCTTCGACAATGTATCATTTTTTATCATCATCTTCTTCGCTCGCAAGGCAGAAGAAAAAAAAAATCTAATTACCAACTTTTAATAGAATGCTAATCCGGCGCGCGCCGTAGTCAAATTTAAAATTATATGACTGCCTTTTCATATTACTTCCCTCTGTAAAAATACATTTACAAAAATATATTATTTTTCTCTCTCTCTCTTTCGCTATATTCGAGCGGTGAAAGTGAATTATAGTTATTATTATTATTTAGTGTGTGAGGGGAGTCGTAAATTTCGCCATCTGCGACGAGTTAATTAAATAAATTAAAACTTTTGAAAATATTATTTTTGAATTGAAAAGAATCGCCGCACACACACCCTTTTTAGATTTAGTGCCTTGTGCGCTCAATAAATACGTTTTTGAGTCTTTGATTTGCTTTATTTTTAGTGAGTGTGAAACGTACACGGGGGCAGCCATAAATTAACGCCCTGCGAAGAGTGCGGATGAATTCAATGTAATTTATGGGTTTGTTTCTTCTTGTAGCGACGTAATTTTTGGCGATGCGCGAAGGCAAAAGGCCTAGTAATTGAGACTCGACAATGTCAACCCAGAAGCGAGTTGCTGCTACCCGTTCATAATTATTATCGCCACCCCTTCGTGTCTTAGTTAAGTGCCTTATTGTAGGGCAAAAGCAACGCGCGAGCGATACGCGAGAAAGGCAACACTGCACAGCGTAATTACTTTGCCCGGCCAGTAACTATGGTAATTTCAATTATGGTAAGGACAATAAGTAGATTATGTGAGATGTCTTCTTGCACTGTTTTACACATTTCTCGTAACGCTCTTGGATTTCGCGAATGACGAGAAATTGAAAATAAAAACAACACATAAGTACTATGCCCAAATAAAAAACGACGAAGTGCATTAATTAGCAAAAGAGGATTAAAGGCACAGATTTACAGTCGTTCCCTTATTCTCACGGGTATTTCCCTGAGCTCCGATCATTGTTTCTGCATTAACTCTTGATTCCTTATATAATAAAATATAATAAAATAAAAATATACGATGCGCAAAATGGCTCGAGCAGGGAAATACAAGTTGACCAGACAATGGAACTACTAGCATAACGAATTAAATAAAAGCGGAAGTCGTGGGTCTGCTTGATGGGCAAAAAGGGTTTTGGAATATTACGTATTACGTAAACACCGGAAACGCGCCGGAGGGTTGAATCAAATCCGTCGAATTAAAGCGCGTACGTGTGTATTTTTTTTTTCTTCTGAAGAGAAGCTAAATGTCTTCCTGGTATCGTTTTGCATGTTGATGTTTCTGGGCACTTCAGTGTAAGGTTGCGCATCCGCTCTGAAATATAACCCATGAAAATTGGCCTACCGCAATTATAGAAAACAGACTTCCCCTTTAGAAAATTGAGAATAATTGTATCGGTTTACTAATTGCGGCCAATACTGAATGACTTCCACCCTGTGCTCGCTTGATTCTCAGAGATGGATTTTGCATAAACAATGAACGTGCATTAGGACTAAGTGGGAATTAATTTGGGGACGTGTGAATCTTTCAATAATTAATCAAAGGCATCGGGATTAGTGCGCATTACACTTAGAGCGAACGACGGCACTCTCCTAGGGGGAGGATGTGAGTGAGGAAGGATAAGCAGAAATTTGAAGGGTCTGCTTAATAGACAATATCAAAGGTGCTCTCACTTATCGTCGCCGCATGGATTCTTGGTTGTTTTTAGGTGGTCCCTGCATCAATTACGGTCCCACTTTAGATATTCCAAAATATTACAAGTGGATGAAAAA